TATATATCTAGTCTGGTTCATTAGGTTGTTCAGTCATTTAAACATTCATTGAACACATATGACATATGTAGGTGCTAGAGATCCAAAATGAGTAACTCAAATTCCCAGCTGGGAAAGACAAGTAAACAGTCCGTTTCAGTATTAGGGTAATGGCAGAGTGGAACGGTAAGGGTCTGGAAAACAACAACTGCTATTGCCATGGAAGGGAGGCTTAACGAGAGCACAGATTTGTGGTTGCCGTGGTAATGGTACCCCACAGACATGCTCTATGGAGACTTTTTTCAACCAAGTAGTGTTTGTATTCCTTTAAAAACTTATTTTTTAGGAGGAGTGAAAAAGGGTAAGAAAGAACCCATAGTTGGCAACAGGAGGAAGCAGACTTGGAAGTGCCTGGACAAACCTGTGTTCCATCTTTTACTGTGTGCCATTGGACAGGTTATTCCGCCTTGCTCAGCATTTGTTTTTTTCCCTTAGGTGAAAGTCGCACCTACATCATTGGATTCTTTCTGACTCAATGGAAGGTGGTTGTAAACCATTGAACTCTATGGCTGGCACATATTAGTCATTGACTATTGGCTGCTACTATTACTTCTCTAAGAATTCTTGCAAGCACTGAATTAGGTGTTTTTTTTTCTTTTTTTGAAGAATACACACCATGTGTAGTAGCAAAAAAAAAAAAAAAAAAGAGAGAGATAGAGAGAGGTTCACTTAGTCCTATTATCCACATCTTCTCCTAGTTACCTGTTTTTCCATTTGTTGACTGCATTGCTGTTTTGGGAAGGTTCATCAGTTACTGCAGAAAGAGCACCACTCTGCAAGCTTCTACTTATCTCTCATTATAACTCTCATGCTGTTTCTTGGTCCCTGGACACAGCTACCCATTCTGCAGAATGATGAACTACAGGTGATGATATCTATGGAAGTACCTTTCTGATTTTGTGAGCAGAGTTTCTCAAGATTTCTCACAACACAAGCCCTTTGGACCTTAAATGTACTTTTTTTTTTTTTTTTGACAGGCAGAGTGGACAGTGAGAGAGAGAGACAGAGAGAAAGGTCTTCCTTTTGCCGTTGGTTCACCCTCCAATGGCCGCCGCGGCCAGCGCGCTGCGGCTGGCGCACCGCACGGCCAATGGCAGGAGCCAGGTACTTATCCTGGTCTCCCATGGGGTGCAGGGCCCAAGGACTTGGGCCATCCTCCACTGCACTCCCTGGCCACAGCAGAGAGCTGGCCTGGAAGAGGGGCAACCGGGACAGAATCCGGCGCCCCGACCAGGACTAGAACCCGGTGTGCCGGCGCTGCAAGGCGGAGGATTAGCTTAGTGAGCCGCGGCGCTGGCTAAATGTACTTTTTAAAAAGATTTATTTCAGTTATTTGAAAGGCAGAGAGAGAGAGAGAGAGAGAGAGAGATTCATCCATCTGGACCTGCCAAATGTCAAATGGTCTCACTGGTCAGGCTGGACCAGGCAGGACCAGGCTGATGTCAATAGCCTGTAATTCCAGGTCTTCCACTTGAGTGGCAGAGCCAGAGTAATTGGGCTGTCCTCTGCTACTTTCCCAGGTACACTAGCAGGGAGCTGGAACAGAAGCTGATTAGCTAGAACTTGAACCTGTGGTTATTTGGGATGTGGGCATAGGCAGCCATTTAACAATATGGGACCCCAGAAATGTACTTTCTCCTCCCCTACCGCATGTCACAGGGCCTGATATACAGAAGATGTCCCAAAATGATGGTTACATTTAAAAATAAAATTTTGATACCAAATGCAACCTGCACTGAAACCATGTTTGTGAATAATTTGCTTTTAAAAAAAAAAAAGAAATTAAATGACTTTTAAATGCAGACATTTCCATCTTTGTTGGGTATTTGGTGGCTTTGTCACATTTGCTGCTGCGGAGACATAGACACAGAAACACAACTTCTTGTTCTCTGGTATTCTAGTAGCAGCCTGTGCTCCAGGTTGAGGTTGGACGTTGGTTTTCTACGTCACGAAGTCCTCTTCAGTACTAGAGTGTGACTCTCTGAGCTCAGAGGCAGCGAGATCAGATGCCAGCATTTAAAGCCCTGCACAATCCTCTGCTTCCTCCTCTCGGGAGCACACATAATTCATGGATTTAGAGAGGCCTGCCACGCCTTGCTGCCTTTCTGCTGTGCTTTCAGGCTGTAGTTCATCTCTAAAGTGAAGAGATTCTGAGGGTGAAGGTCAGACCACTCTCACGGGAGAGGCCCTGGCATCCAACAGAGTAATTTGGTGTCCCAGGTCTTCCACCAAGGCCCCCAGGTGAAGCTGACATCCTGGATAAAATTCACCTCCATTTCCCTCCATTTTAATGAATAGCATTTCAAATTCCTACAGATTAGTCTTGACTGCACTCTCAAGAGAGCGAACTTTGATGAGGCATAATTAGGGTCTTACTCACTCCCCCACCCACCCTGCAGCCCTCTAGGGTAGGTCCCTGACTGCACAGGTTTTCTTGGCACAGAGAGCCAATGCTTGGGGGCGCTTTCCAAGTGTCACTTGCCAAAACACTGCAGCCAGTGTGCAAAGGGCCTAGCTTGAAAGCATTGCAGGTGGTGTTTGCGGGTTTGAGGTTTGCCCTCACTCGTACTCGCTGTGTGTGGGAAGTTCCCCAGGGAAATGAGGCCAGCTTGGCATGTCAGGAGGCCCAGGGATTGTCTGTTGGGTGAGTCTCAGGCTCAGCGGCAAGTGGGAGGCACCCAGGGCCTCAGAGGAGGAGGACAATTTGCCAGTGACTTTCTCCTATGCCCTAGTGTGCTGCTGCCTCCAATTCTCAAGTCTGAATGTGGCAAGCTGTTTCTAGTTCTGCTTTCTTTTGTTTTAGATCACAGAACGCTAAGCCCCAATTTTTCATTTCCTGATTCTATTTCCCTTGTTAATTTTGCAGTTCAGTCTTTCAGATCTGCCAGCACACCTTGCTAGAAACCTCCTAAGGAGTGAATACTCCTTGACTTACTCCCCTCCCCAGTCTCTCCCTTTTTAGGATTTTATTTCTACTTAGCATCTAGTCTATAATGTCTTTTATTAAGATCAAAAATTTAATTACGTACACATTGGAACCTGAGCCCACAAAGTCTACAGATTCCTTGAAAATGCCACTTGCTAGGTGTGTGATCACAATAAATGTGCAAAAATGCTGCACAACAATTAGATTTTAAGGCTTAACTTAAACCAGGTGGAGGGACTAGCTTAAATTAAATGGAGAAAAATGGCTCTATAGATATTAGGAGATAATAACAAAAGCACATGAACTGAGTGAGAAATGAAATTGAGAGGATTCTAGCTACTCGAAAGATATTAGGTGGTAGGGAGATTAAAAGAAAAGAAGGAAATGAAGACGTTTAAATGTAAACCAGAGGGATGGAATCTTAGCAGTGGGTTAAGCAGCTGCCTGGGATGCCTGCAAGCCCATGTTGGGGTGCCTGCGTTCAAGTCCCAGCTTTCTGCTAATGCACACCCTGGGGAGCAGCAGATGATGGTTTAGTTACTTGAATCCCTGCTACCCATGTGGGGGACTTGGAGGGAGTCTCTGATTCCTGACTTAAGCATGGCCTACCCAGATCCAGATTTTGTGGGTATTTGGTGACTGAACTAGTGGATGAAAGATTCTTTCTCTCCGGGATGCTCTGCCTTTCAAGAAGATGAAAATAAATAAATGAACTTAAAAAAAAATACCCAATAACAAAAGAATACAATGACCAATGTAAAAGAGAGTAGATTCTTCTTGCTAAAGAAGGCAGGGCTACTCAGCCTTCCTCCTTTCCACTCTGTCTTCCTGGGTCCTTTCCCTCCTAGGCAGCCACTCTCTCCTTGCTGCATTTGTGCAGTCACATCCTCCTTGTGTATCTGTTTACTTTTATCTCTAATTTCACACTTTACACTATCATCATGATTTATTTACAGTGTCTCTCACTAGACTATCTTCTCCTCAAGGGCAGGGGTCAGGAGAAATGTCTAGGACAGGGCCTCCTACAGAACAGGTGTCAGTGAGTGTCGGCTGTGAGTCTGGAGGAGAGGCATCACCGTGCTTGTGATGATCAGTGGTGCGTCCACCAGGTCCTCTTCAAGGATGGACTGTTAGTTAACCTGGCTGCCAGGTCTGTCAGTGGATAGCGCTCAGCTGATAGGGGATGGCCTCAGCTGTGAGGAGCCATCTCAGTCCAAAGTTAAACCCTCCTGACTGTGGCTACATTTCCACCTGGCTGGGGACAACTCCAGAGGTCAGTCTTGCTTCAGAGCCTTTCTGTGGCTCTCAGGAGCCTATACTGCAATTTGACTTTTCTGTGTATCTTGTCTTTGCCCCAGCTTTGACATGTGTTTGTCACAAGAAGCACCCTAATGAATGTTCTGTGCTCTCAACTTAGAGTTTATTTCCAGGAGAACCTTACCTGTAACACTTCTTAGCTCAATTGAAAAAACTAAGAAGGTGGCACAGGCATTTAGCTTTGTGGTGAAGACTCTTACTACGACATCAGCTCCCATACTGGAGTTCCTGAGTTCGAGTTCCAGCAGTGGCTTCTGACTCCATTTTCCTGCCAATCCAGACCTTGGGAGGTAGTGACGATCGCTTGTGTTTCTGCTACTCATTTGGAGACTTGGATTGAGTTCCAGGCTCCTGGCTGTGGCTTCTCCTGGTCTTCGTATTGCTGGCATTTGAAGGATGATTTAGCATGCCGTTGGGATCAGCTTGTTTCTTTCTTGATCTCTCTGCCTCTCAAAAAGAAAAAAAAAAATAGAAGGATGAGAAGGAAGAGAAGGGACTAAGGTTGCAGATTTAAGCAACAGTATTTCTACTGTTGTAAATAGCATGGGGATTTAGAGGGGAATATACAAATACAGAAACTGAGAAGGCAGAGTAGTCTGTGAAAAGAATTGTCCCCAGATGAGTCCCCAGACCAGGTGCCCATCCAGAGCACCACCTCCAGGCAGTCACACCACCCCCAGCCTCCTGTCTACTTCTGCAAAGGGAAGGAGTCAGATGGGGCTATCTTCAAGTCTCCTCTTGCCTGTAATCTTCTATCAGGCTGAATTTGATGCTCTGGGAAGATTTGGTGACGACTTGTAAACTGAAGGTTTCCAAGGTGACCTTAACTCTAAATCCAGGAAACAAACCTGAAGGAAAAGAAAATGTGCCATTCAGAGTTGCAAGCAGTGATAAAATATCCCACAGGGATTGTCCTTCTGACAACTCACAAGACATGCATGTAAAAAAGAGATTCCTTTGACAGCTGTTGTCTCAAGATAACTGACACCTTTCAATGGCAATGCATAAGAGGACAAAGAGAACATGACCTCAGCAGACAATGGAAATTAGGGAAAAAACAAGTTGAGATATTAAATCAGATATCAAAAATCATCATCACTGACACATAAGATGAAGAAGTTGGCAACAAGGAACATTTTCCAGTCTCAAAAGTAAAACTTACGGAAATCAAGATGTTTGGCCAAAAAATAATGTTGGAATCCTGCTCACTTTTATTTCTTTTTCATTCCAGGGCCCTCTGGTTTGTATTTTACCTTTAGTTAAAACAGCAGTCATTCAACAAATAATTACCAAATGCCTACTTATATCAGGCTTCTTTTGGTGCAATCAAAATAAGAAAAAAAAAGTTATAAAAAAGGATTTTTTATTACTTTTGTGAATAACCTGAATTACTTGTGTGAATAACAGAATAGGAGGAAAAGCAGAACTGAGCAGGTGCCCAATACAGGAATCAAGGAAGCTCCAGGGATTTAGCAGCAGGAACAGTAGGGTGTCTTTCCTGACTTCCAACCATTTCCATTTTGTTCCTCTTAAGACTCCATTTTCCAGGAAACAAGGAAATGGGCTAACTTGCTGGCTGGAAAGGTTATGAAGATTGGGTGATGGGCCATTCCCCAAAGGAAAACCAAAGGAAGGGGAAAGGATGGATGCTGGGCCAGCAAAAGTTTCACATGTTTCACATGTCTCCCCCACATGCTGTGTGCCTGCTACCAGTCCACAGGATGGCTATATACTGTAGAGAGGCACAGGCATGTTCTCAGGGAACATACCACTGGTGAGAAAGTGTAATAGGGTATTATTGCAGGAAGTGACTGACTGAGACCAGTGTTGCAGGTGGTGAAAGAATTCAGAGCAATGAAAGAGAGTGAGCAGAGTTAGTTTTATTGAACACATTGCAAGGCAGCAGCATGACAGACAGGACAGCTAGAGGCTGACTACTGCTTGCACGCTGCAAGGGAGAAGCAGGCAGCACAGCCACGGGCTGCCTGCTGCAACATGCGCTACAATCTAAGAGGCGTACTTTCAACTGCAGTGTCTTCTCTTTTAGGGTGAGATTTTCTAATGATTCAGCAGGTTTTCCCATTTGGTAATTTGCGTTTCTGGGAAGAGCTGGGGGAGCCTACACTCCCTCTTAGCTTTGGGATTTTCACAGTGCTCCAGGGCAACCCTCTACAGACTAGGCAGAGGGGATGTGGTAAGGGAGGAATGAGGAATGACTGCTAATGGGTATGGAGTTTCTTTATTTTCTAATATTTTCTAAAAATATTCAGGAATTAGGTAGCAATGACTGACATACAATTTCATGAATATACTAAAAAAATCATTGAACTGTTCATTTGAAAAACCTTATGGAATGCAAATAATATCTCTATAAAGCTGTTGCTTAAGAAAAAAATACAAGGGCCAGCACTGCAGCTCACTAGGCTAATCCTCTGCCTGCAGCGCCGGCACCCCAGGTTCTAGTCCCGGTTGGGGCGCCAGATTCTGTCCCGGTTGCTCCTCTTCCAGTCCAGCTCTCTGCTGTGGCCCGGAAGGGCAGTGGAGGATGGCCCAAGTGCTTGGGCCCTGCACCCCATGGGAGACCAGGAGAAGCACCCGGCTCCTGGCTTTGGATTGGCACAGCGCGCTGGACTTAGCGGCCATTTGGGAGGGGGGTGAACCAACGGAAGGGAGACCTTTCTCTCTGTCTCTCTCTCACTAACTGCCTGTCAAAAAAAAAAAAAAAAACAAACAAAAACAACAACAACAACAAAAAAGAAAACAAAACAAAAAAAAGCAAGCTATGGCAAATACTGTTGCTTGGCCACTTACAGTCTTTCCTAATCTGGTGTAATTCCTTACCTACTTCCTTTTTTTAATATAATTTTTTTATTTTATTTTATCTTTGACAGGCGGAGTGGACAGTGAGAGAGAAAGGTCTTCCTTTTGCTGTTGGTTCACCCTCCAATAGCCACCGCAGCCGGCGCACCGCGCTGATCCGATGGCAGGAGCCAGGTACTTCTCCTGGTCTCCCATGGGGTGCAGGGCCCAAGCACTTGGGCCATCCTCCACTGCACTCCCTGGCCACAGCAGAGAGCTGGCCTGAAAGAGGGGCAACCGGAGCAGAATCCGGCGCCCCGACTGGGACTAGAACCCGGTGTGCCGGCGCCGCAAGGCGGAGGATTGGCCTAGTGAGCCCCACGGCGCGGGCACCTACTTTTATTACACAGTTTATGTATTTACTTTCCCAGATTTACTTGTAACTAGGAATGTCCAAGAGACATTTTTTTTTTTTTTTTTTTTTTTGGCCAGTACATGTCAGCAGAAATCTGCTAGAGGGTTCAGGAGAGAAAAATTGACTTTCTGATAAAAGGGACCAATGCCTCTGTCACTGTCCTTTCCCCTTACTTATGGTCCATAGGACATGATGTCTGATGCTGCAGAAGCCCATGAGTAGGAAACACGAAGCGAGAATAGTAGAGGAGAGGAATGAGCAAGCCTGGGCCTTAATATTATCCTTACGGGGCATCCTTCTGTTGGTACACTACTGTTAGGTTTATTGCCATTTGCAGATGAATGCATTTCTTTCTTTGTTTCTTAAAGACTTATTTTATTTTATTTATTTGAAATGCAGAGTTACAGAGAGAGAGGAAGAGACTGGAGGAGAGAAAGGTCTTCCATCCACTGGTTCACTACCCCAGATGGCTGCAATGGCCAGAGCTGAGCACAGCCAAAGTCAGGAGCTTCTTCTGGGTATCCCATAGGTGCAGAGGTCCAAGGACTTTGGCTGTCTTCCACTGCCTCCCAGGTGCATTAGCAGGAACTGGATTGGAAGTGGAGCACCTGGGACTCGAACCAGCGCCCATATGGGATAATGGGGTTGCAGGCTGTGGCTTAACCCATTACACCACAATGCTGGCTCCAAGGAATCTTCCTAAACCAGAGTCTGGGATGGACTCTAAGGACATGAATGAACTATGAATAGGTGTTTTCCAAATGGCAGTTGAGGTTTGGAGGGAAGGATGATCATTCTAGCAGTTATCTGTGCCCACTTTCCACATGATTGATTCCCATGACCTAGCCCAAGCTAACTTTTCTGAACCTGGTTAAATTCTGCAGAACTACTTTCACCTTCTTCCCTTTAAACTTAGTGAAAAGTGTTATTTTTATTATTATCATTATTAATTCTAGGATGATCATTCCTCTATGGTCTGATACATTGCAACACCCTCCCATCTATTTCAGGAATTTATCCATCAGTCAATCTGTTTTAAAAGTCAGTCCCTCTCTACTGTCTCTGCCCCACAACCTGCTTATATTTTCGAGTTTCTCTAATATTAAGAAAAAGTCCTCCTGTATCTATTGCGTTTTTAAAAAGCTTTACTTATTTCTCTGAATGTCAGAGTGACAGAGAGAAAAAGGAAGGGAAGAAGGGAGAGAGATATAGAATCTTCCTTTTGCTGGTTCACTCCCCAAAATGCCTGCAGTTGGGGCTGACCAAAGCCAAAAGTCAGGAACTCCATCCAAGACTTTCATATGAGTGGCAGGAACCCAAGAACTTGGGCCATCATCTGCTGCCTCCCAGGTGCATTAGCAGGAAGCTGGATCAGAAGCAGAGGCAGCACTCAACCCCAGGCACTTCAATATAGGATGCAGATGTCCCCTGTGTTGGCTTAACATGCTGCACCAGAGTGCCTACTCCTAGCTATTGCATTTTCTTTGCTTGATAATTTTGCTCTGCCTTTTGTGTTTACTTTCTCACCTTCCAGTAACTGTCTCTTATGGATGTTAGATAGTTGCATTCACCACTGCACTGAAACTGCATTGACAAAGGTCACTGTAGGAGGTAGCTCCTCTGGTGGCACAGACACGGTCTTTTTTTTTTTTTCTTTCTGATTTATCTTATTTACTTGAAAGAGTTACAGAGAAGAGAGGTAGAGCCTGAGAGAGAGCTTCCATTCCATTGATTCATTCCCCAAATGACTGCAACAGCCTGAGCTGCTGATCTGAAGCCAGAAGCCAGGAGCTTCTTCCAGGTCTCCCATGTGGGTGCAGGGGCCCAAGGACTTGGACCATCTTCTGCTGCTTTCCCAGCCCATAGCAGAGTGCTGGATCAGTAGAGGAGCAGCCAGGGCTGGAACTGGGGCTCATATGGGATGCATGCAGTGCAGGCTGGGGCTTTAACCTGCTGTGCTACAGCAGTGGCCTCCACTTGTTCTGTTTTGTTCACCACTGTATGTCCAGTCCCCAGAGTAGTGCCCAGCATGTAATACTTGCCAGACAATAAATAAATGTCCTCTTAATCAAAAGCAAACTGTCTTCTTATCCTGACTGCTCAGTCGCTTTGTCATTTTTCACCACTTCCTTCTTGAAATATGCTCTTGTTTTTAATAACTTAACTATTTCTCTTTTAACTTTTTGTTATGGAAAATTTTAAGTATATAAAAGTAGGAAAAATAATCCTTTTTTTTTTTTTGACAGGCAGAGTGGATAGTGAGAGAGACAGAAAGAAAGGTCTTCCTTTTGCCATTGGTTCACCCTCCAATGGCTGCCACGGCCGGCACGCTGCGGCCAGCACACCGTGCTGATCCGAAGGCAGGAGCCAGGTGCTTCTCCTGGTCTCCCATGCGGGTGCAGGGCCCAAGCACTTGGGCCATCCTCCACTGCCTTCCCGGGCCACAGCAGGGAGCTGGCCTGGAAGAGGGGCAACCGGGACAGAATCAGGCTCCCGGACCGGGACTAGAACCCCATGTGCCGGCACCGCTAGGTGGAGGATTAGCCTATTTAGCCACGGCGCCGGCCAGGAAAAATAATCTTAAAAGTCCAGGCATCTATCACCCAGCTTCATCTCATGGCCAGTGCTGTTTTA